AGGCCTGCATTGGAGGGTGCCGAGTACCCCGACAGGGAAGTGGGGGATGAGTGGTCAGGTGACTTGGCCAAGTCTCCCACAGCTCAATCCCAGGCTGGCCAGACTGTCCTCCACAGGAGGCCAGGAGCTCCCCCTGCCAGTTGCACACTCACTCCTTTCCCCTGCCCCTCTCCAGCTTCAGGTCACCCCCCTTCCCTTCCTCGGCTTCCAGCCCCCACCCCAGCACCCGAGGCCTATACTCCCACTGCAGCCTCTAGATCCACAACAAGGGTCAGATCTCAGGTGTCGGGGCCCATGTGGACACAGCATTCCTGGATCCACACTCTCATTCCCAAGACATGAGGGTCTCGCTGCTCTGCCCGTGCCGAGAGGAGCCCGAGGCCCAGGCCCCCCGCCATACCAGACAGACCCACCTCGTACCCCTGGACCCACGTGCCTCTCCCGGTGGCGTCACATCTCCACCCCGCCCTCTTGGAACTCCTCCTGGGGTTGTCTATGGCTGAGGAGCTGAATCCACCCCGCTCTCTTTGGTATCTGCTGGGCATCCCCTGGGTGCCAGGCTCTGTGCTAGGAGTCGAGGATTCGAACCAAGAAAGTGCACACGTTTCCCGCCCCCTGAAGCTCACAGTCCGCCCAGGCGGGCAGACAGCTTGGGAAGAAGCAGCCTCCATGGGAACATGTGCTCCCAGAGGCACTGAACAACGTGGGCCTGGGGGCCACCCAGGAGCGCCCACAGCTACAGACGTCGAGCGCCTGAAACGTCGATCACAGCTAAAGAAATTGCAATACATTCCTTCAGTGGGACACTCCACAGCAGGGGCTGACAAACGTGCTCCGTAAAGGGCCAGGTAGTAAATATTTTCCGCTTTGCGGGCCATATGGTCGCCCTCGCAACTGCTCAACTCTGCCGACGGAGGCTGACAGCAGTCCTAGACGGTCTGCGAGTGAATGAGTGTGGCTGTGTTCCAATAAAACTTTATTTATGGACACTGAAATGTGTATATTGTATCATTTTCACGTGTCGTGAAATAGTCTCCTCTTGATTTTCTTCCAACCATTAAAAACATAGAAAAAAAAAACCACTCCTATCTCGCAGGCCATACCAAAAGGCAGCGGGGCTGGATTTAGCCCCCCAGGGTCGCTGTTTCTGATCCCAGCTCTTCAGCAACGAAAATACACAAACTACAGCCACGCAGGCGACTGGACAGATCTTGCAAAACGTAACTTGGCGTGAAAGAAGCAGGTCGCGAGAAGAATACACAGCATCACTCTGATTATACAAAGTTCAACGACAGGGAAGATGAATCCATATCGTTCAGGGACACATACTGAGGGATAAAACTATAAAGAGATGGCAGGAAGCAATTGCCCCGAGAGTTGGGATGGGAGAGAGGGGTGTCTAGGTGGCGGCCGGGGGGACCAGGGGCTCTGGAGCCCCACGGTGTTCTCTGGATGGTGGTCACACAGGACTTTGTTTTATATTTATTGTACTTCTCTGTATAGGTATTATAGCTCACAACTTAAAAAGAGAAAGCAATGATAATAGGGCCAACTGGAAGAGCATCTGAACCCCTACCTGACAGGCATTTATAATCCACCTGGAATAGAGCCCAGTGGGATTCGGATCCCACTGCTCCGCCAAGAGACCCTCCCCTCCAGTCAGACTGAACCTCTCTCCGTTCCCTCCCCCTGGCTCTGCCTTCTGGCCTCCCAGTCTTTATTCCCGCTGTGCTTGCCACCCACCCACCTGCTCTGCCTCCTCCCCCTCTCAGCTCCCTTGCCCCCGCCAACACTCCCCCTGCCCCACCTCCAGCAGAGAGGTGCTTCTCTCCACCTGCCTCGGAAGCTCTTTACTGGGATTAGACAAAGATGAAAAGCAGAGGCCAATCCCGACAGAGGCTCGGAGCTGCAGGAAAGAAGGCAGGAGGCTCCTGAACATCTTTTGGACGACAAAGGGAGCAGTGACACCTGAGTCCAGAGCAAAGGGGGAGGGGAGCAAACCTGCATCGGTAACTCTCTCCTTGGGTCATGTTCTCTCACGTTCTCTGGGCAAGTCTCAGCGTTTCCACCAGGCTGAGAGTCGGGGTTGTTCACCTCCAGGTCTCCCCCCACCCCAGTGCCCAGAACTGGCCCTCCTCCATGGATATTTGAGAAATAAATAGAGCCCAGAGTTCTGGAAAGGCCAAGAAGAGAAAGGGGACTGACATTTGTTGAGGACACAGAGGCTCAGAAAGGTTAAGTAATTTTTTTTAAAAGATTTTATTTATTTGAGAGAGAGAGAGAGAGACAGCATGAGAGGGGATAGGGTCAGAGGGAGAAGCAGGCTCCCTGCCGGGCAGGGAGCCCGATGCGGGACTCGATCCCAGGACTCCGGGATCATGACCTGAGCTGAAGGCAGTTGCTTAACCAACTGAGCCACCCAGGCGCCCAAGGTTAAGTAATTTGTCAAAGGTCACACAGCTGTCAATGGAAGAAGGTAGAACTTGGCCCCAAAGCCCTCGCAGGTGACTGAAGCCTGGTGGAAACAAGGCTCGAGCAGATGTACATCTGCTCCCAGGAAAGCTGAGTCTCAGGTTTGCATGACTCACCTCTGGGGGACAGCAGTTGCCTGCGGGACCGCAAGTGGCTCCCAGACCCTTTGAGAAAAGTGGAATTCGCAGAGAGCTCAAAAGACTGGAGGACAGCAGGGCTGAGTCTCAGCTCACGACAGGAGGAGGAGGGCTGGGAGCAAGAGAGGTCCTGAGACACCATCCCGTAACGTGCCAGACGCCCCTGGCAAGGTCAGAGAGACCCCGAGGAACCTGTGGGCTCGCTAAGATATCCACCTGGCCAACTGGATCTTGACTTTTGATTGGCTCTGCTAGACCGGCAGGTAGCTGGCGTTCTCTGAGCCCCGACCACGTGCCCCAACCACTCAGGCTCAGGGTGTGACACCAGGCAGGAACTACTATCGCACCCATTTAACAGATGAGGCAATTGAGGCACAGAGACATTAGGAACCTGCCCAGGGTCCTGGGGTGAATCGCAGAGCTCAGATAGAAAGTCAGGCTGAACGCCCTGGTGTATGGACTCAACCCTGCATCACACCGAGGCTCAGGGAAGTGGTGCACTGTCCCTGGGCTGGACTTTGGCGACAGAGAGAGCCAGGCACCCGCAGGGCAGGAGTGACTGTGTTGTCTGCTGCTCTGGAATGTTCTCGGGGACCACGAGGGTTTTTCACCTCTTGTGAAAGAGCAGAGTTTCTCTTTTGTACAACCTTTACTGCAGTACTGGGGGGAAAATCTGCTGTATGTTTACAGCTGAGACTGTTACAAAAGCACTTCTCACCGCAGCATCCCGCAAAGTGTCATCCACTGTTACCCGGCTGTGCTGGGTCCCTTCCGGGGAGGAGGGTCCACACAAAAAGAAATGATGAGAATTTGAGGGATACTAAGTTAGAAATGACCGAGTCCGACGCACTGTCACCAACAAACTGCATTTCCTCGGGACCATCTCTGCACCGGCCATGGGGGCGGGGGGTGCAGGAGGGGGCACAAGGTGTGCAAGATGAAAGGAAATGATGTCACAAGGGGCCCGGCCCAGGAAGCCTGCAGTCGGTACCACAGCCAGCTGTTGTCTCCTGGGGGGAGGGGAGTGACATTTTCTATGAGGAATATTCTTTACAAAGAAGGCGCCTGGGTGGCTCAGTCAGTTAAGCGTCTGCCTTCGGCTCAGGTCATGATCCCAGGGTCCTGGGATCGAGCCCCGCATCGGGCTCCCTGCTCAGTGAGGAGCCTGCTTCTCCCTCTGCCCCTCCCCCCGCTCATGTGCATTCGTGCACGTGCACTCTCTCTCTCTTTCTTTCTCAAAAATAAATAAAATCTTTAAAAAAAGAAAAAAGCTGAGAGGAGCCCTAGAGCCCACTGCCAAAGATCCTGGCCTGGGGTTCAGGCTGACTTGGGACTAAACCTGACCTCCACTCACCCTCTAGGTCTTGAGCTACCTGGCCTCCCTGGGCCTCAGTTTCCCTGTTCTTAAGGGGTGCTGGCAGTGACAGCACCCCAAGGGTGGCTGGAGGGGGGCTGACGGTGAGAGTAAAGCCCAGAGCAAGTGCTCAAAGAAGCTAATTCATGATAGTAAGAAGAGCCGTTATTGTTTATGGTATAAACGAAAGGCAGAGGATGAAGCAGAAGTGGGGGGCAGCCCCCCGGAAGCCTCAGAAAAGTCTGGGTGAATAGGAAGCAAAGCATCCAGGCTGCACAGTGAGGTGGGGTGACCCTGGGAATCCCAGAGGGCCCAGGGATGCCCTGGGAGAGACTGAGCTGGAGGGACCGCCTCGTGGGCAGCCCTGGAGAGACACACTCCTGGGGGTTCCCTGGTCTGGATGAACATGCCCCAAGGCCACACAGCATGAGGCCTGGCTTGGATCCAGGCTGCCCCGTTTCTGAGGGGACCTGGGACCAGCAACGGGGGCATGGCGTTGGCCCCGGGGAAGGCATCAGCTTCTGTTGCAAGGTGGCCACTGGTTGCACGCCAGGAAGTGGGGAGTGCCACCCTCTCTGCAATAGCGACGATTTTGTGTCCCAGGGCACAGTGCTCCTGGGGGCCAGCCCTCGGCCGCCCCGGTCTCCCCGGCTAACATGGGGAACAAGGCCGAGGCCAGCCCTGCCGCTTAGCAGATGCAGATTCCGGAGGGGGGTGAGCTCCCCACCGACCCCACACCGACCCCGCCCGCCCTTGGCCGCAGCAACGCCCACCCGCCGTGTCTGAGGGCCAGGGGTCAGGCTGGCGGAGGAAGGCTGCTAACACGGCGGTGGGGGGGGGGGCGGGGGGGCCACCCGGGCGAGGCATCAGCGAACCATCTCCCCGATCCCCGGAGGCTCTCCCTGGGAAGTCTGCAATGTTCAGACGCAACCGGCACACTTCCCGAGACAGGTGCCCAGGACTCAGCCGCACGGGTGGACGAAAGCCGCCCTGATGTGCCAGCCAGAGGGCTCGCGGGAAGAAGGAAGGCAGCGTACCTGTGAGCTGCAGCATCCAGGGAAGCAGGAGCAAGCCCAGGAGCCAGGGGCCCAAGAACGTGTCCGCCATGAGGCCGGCTCTCCACTGGGGCCTCCCTCGCGGTCTTCCTCTTTTGTCTCAAGTTCACAGGAGGGGACGGCCTGCTGGCCACCACAGTTCCCCTTTGAGTCCCCACAAAGCTCCTCCCTGGCCACGCTTCTGCTTCCTCAGGGCCTCGCTGGGTCTGCTCCCCTTAGTAACCCTGGACTTTCTAAGCAAGGAGTGGGAACAGCCCCAAGGTGAGGAATCTGGGCCGTGCACCCCTCCTGGTGGGGCATCCCTGTCCACCCCGTGTTGGGGTGCTGCTCCCCTCCTCAGTCCCCTTCGAGCTGGTGGCCCATCCGGTAGACACTGGTGACAGAGGGGACACAGGATTCCCATGAGTAACTCTGGGGTTTCGTTTAGCTGCTCACAGCTGAAACTTTTAAAACTGTGCTCACAGACTTCCCGTCAGACATCGTCCAGGGGCCCCTGGATTCATGTGCTCATCCCAGCGCAGGGTTTCCGGGGGGTGGTGGAGGTTGGGGGGATCGGCTGGGGGCAGGTGCGTGATAGAGAAGGGGCAGGCAGCTAGGCTGAGGGCAGGAGCCCAGCACCCCCTTCCCCAGCAGACTGGAGCTTTTTAACCTTGGCCTTCTGGACCCCAGCCCTGGGCTGAGCTGGATACGGTAGGGGGGTAGATGTCTGCCTGCAGGCCCGGGGAGGAGAAGGCAGGAGTCTGGGGGTGGAGGGGAGGACCCCAGCACTCGGGCAAGCGGAGGAGGCTGGGGAAGTGCGGTGAGGGTTGGCACGCATTCGCACTTCACCTCCTTTCCCCATGAGTGCCCATTAACCCTCAAGGCAAACGAAATTATCCCAATTTTACAAAAGAGAAAACTATGACCCCAAGAGGCAAAGCACCTTGCTCGAGATCGGGGCAGCTACATGGGGCCAGGATTCAATGCCCAGCCATGTGAAGCCTGCCCCTCTGTCCCCACTCCATGCAAACCCCCACGATGGCATGGAAGGCGTCCAGTTTCGGTCCTTCTTCCAAATGCTTTCCCCTTGGCAGCTCTGCACATGCACGATGAAAGCCAGGAGATGCCCCCCCCCCCCCAACCAGCAACACCAGGAGGGTGGCAAGGAGGAACAGGGCTGCCCACCAGGTGAGGAAGACGTATAGACGCCAGCCACTTCTTACTGGCTGGGGGGCGGTGGGGACCCCAGTGGTATCGACTGTTGATCCATCACAGTGATACATGATCGCGTATGTCACAGTGAGACACAGATAATCTGCTTCACGCTGTTTCCGACCTCCGGGGGGAGCAGGTTGTCTAAGCACCTCGATGCCATGGTGATAGACGTCACGTTAATGCCTCTGTGCACGGAGGGAGCGTTCTAAAGGCATCAGTCTGTGCCTCTAGGAGGCTCTTTAAGACTTGACCCTGGGAGGCGTCTGAGCGCCAAGCCGCCTCAGAACACGGACACGGGCTCTGCCTGCTCCCGTCCACGCAGGTGCCCCCTGCCTCCTCCACACACAAAGCCCTCAGCCCCTCAACAGTGCAGCCCACGATCTGCACCCCAGGGCAGCCCAGATCTGCACCCCGGAGCCCTGGGAGCTTTGCAGCTTCTGGATGTGGGTCTGGCATATGGTCTCTGGTCTGTCTGGGGCCGCCTCTGTGGCCTTCACCTCTGACTGCCCCCGGGCTCGGCACAGTGCACGCACCTTAGTATGTGCTCAATAAATATTGGTGTATGAATGGATGGATGGATGGATGCATGGATGCATGAGCTTCAGATGGGGTAAAATGCCTTCCTCCCAGGCTTGCTGTGAAGGTGGCGCCTACCATGGAGCCTGACACACGGCAGGATCCCACCAGGCTACCGTGGGATGGCTGCTCCTGCTGAGAGGCAGGGACAGGTCTTGGGCAGGGAGCCAGGGGGCCCGGGCTGGCCTCTCAGGCCCTCAGGAACCAGGTGTCGGAAATGAAACCACAGCACATTGTGAAACCTCATTTTCACCAACACTTTCCACCTGCTCTCACCCCCATGGGTGCCGAGCTGGCAAGCTGCTGGACTTGGATCTGATGGCTTTTCCTCCCCCGAGCTCCTGGTGGGGGCTTCGGGTAAGCGGGGACGGGAGGGGCAGGGGATGTGGGCTCTGGTGGCGCCCCCAGTGGGGAGCCGCGGGGCCAGGCCTCCACAGCTGAGTTTGCGGGTGAGGTCCCTAGGGGACGGCGCCCTTTAGGACTCCTGTTCGTCCAGACATCTGTCCGAGTGTCCATCCATCTGTGCCCTCACATTTTGCTGAGTGCCTAGCCCGCCCTGGGCACTGGCCTCAGTGGGAGGATGCAGAAGTGAGAGACCCAAGCTTCGAGGAGCCCATGTCTGGGTGAGGAGCAATCATCCCAGCACAACTAAGCAATAACATAGCACTTCAGAGCAGGTAGGAAACACCAGACACTATTCGAGACGCTCCGAATCTGCAAATCAACTTACTCCTCACTGCAATCCCATAGGTAGGTACTACAACCAATTCCATTTTACCGATGACGATGCCAAGGCACAGGGAGGTTAAAATAAAATTTGCCTCGGGCACCTGGGTGGCGCAGTCAGTTAAGCTTCCGATTCTTGGTTTCGGCTCAGGTCATGATCTCAGCGTCGTGAGATCGAGCCCCATGTCGGGCTCCATGTCGGGCTCCTCGCTGGGCGTGGAGTCTGCTTAAGATTCTCTCTCCCTCTGCCCCTCCCACTTGTTCTCTCTCTCTCAAATAAATAAATCTTTTTTAAAAATAAAAAAATAGGGCGCCTGGGTGGCTCAGTTGGTTAAGCAACTGCCTTCGGCTCAGGTCATGATCCTGGAGTCCCAGGATCGAGTCCCGCATCGGGCTCCCTGCTCAGCAGGGAGCCTGCTTCTCCCTCTGACCCCCCCCCCATGTGCTCTCTGTCTCTCTCATTCTCTCTGTCTCAAATAAATAAATAAAAATCTTTAATTTAAAAAAATTAAATAAAAATAAAAAAATATAATTTGCTTAAGGTCACAAAGCTAAGGAATGTGTCCAGGGGAAGTGACTCTGAGGATAACCCCAGGCTCTGGGGTTCCATCCACTCTTCCAGCCTGCCTTATAGCAGAAGTATGTACAGAGCCAAGAGGGGGGCACAGGAAGAGGTTATTTACTCAGGGTGAAGAGAGGAGGGAGTGCCAAGGAGGGCTTCATGGAGGAGGGGGCAGCCCTGAAGGAGGAGGAAATGGGAGAGCGCAAATGTCCCCAGCAGTCCCAGAGGTGCCTTATCCACACAAAGACTACAGCTTTCCAAACTGGACCAAAATTACTGGTTTCTGTTTTCAGTTTAGTTCCCATGCACACTTACTAAGTGCCTACTGTGTACCAGGCAGTGGAAGCACAGAACATAAGTCATAGTTTTGCCCTCAAGTTGCTCCCCATCTAGAGAAGAAAACAGAACGCCCAGACAGGAGCGAGCAAAGGTGAGCGAGCAAGTGACCGTGAGACCCCTGGCCTGGCCGCTTTGGTGCCCATGCTCAGGAGCTGCCTGTCTTCTCTGTGTTACCTTCCTCAGCCGCAGGAGGTCATTTCTTTTCTCCCTACAGACTCCAGCACCAGAAGGAGCCCATCAGTTGGATGCCCCCCTCAAAACAACCCTCTGCACTGGCCTGGTGCTCAAGATGGACAGCGTCCACTCCATCGAGCACCCCACCCCCACCCGGAGAGGGCTTCTGGGGAGGGCAGCCTCCCTCCCCTCCCAGCACCATCCATCTCCCTTTCTGCACCATGTAGCCATGTAGCCGCCTTCAGGGGTGGTGGGGGCTGGGGGGGAGGTAAGGAAGGGAGGGGGCAGTAAGCCTACTCCCAGGACTAGACCTGACCCCTAAGCCAGGGGCACGATTCAGCCTGAGAACCGGCTTTGACTCTGTTGAGGGGACCCTTCTAATCCTGAGCTGGGCTGGCCCACAGTAGACTGGGCTCCTTTCTCTGAGAAAATGAGCTGTCACTAGAGGTGTGCAAACCCACCTGGAGGCCATTCTCCCTGCAGGCTGCTCAGAGATCCCTGCCCTTCTTGTAAGGTTGACTGGGCCCACCTCCAAAGTGCCTTCCCTGTTCAAGCCAGAATTTTTGCCTGTTTATTAGGTATTTGTTTCATGCCAGACACGGTTCTAAAGGCTTTTCATGTGTTGACTACTTCAGGCCTTGAAAAAACCTCATGTAGATAGGTATTATTATTGCCCCTATTTTATAGATGAAGAAACTGAAGATCAGAGAGTGCAAGCCACTTGCCCAAGGCCACACAGCAAGTAGGCAGTGGAACAAGGACGTGAGCTCCCGTGATTGCACTTTTAATCATTATGTTCTCCTGCAAAATTCACTTGATTCTCCCAGCAGGGCTGGTATGATAACCCTCATCATACAGATTTAGTGACAGAAAAAAATTGTGCAAATGACCTGCTCATGGTCACAGACAGGATCAGAGGCATACCTGGGAGCAGAGACCAGGGTTTTCCTGATAGACACATGCCAGAGTTAGACAAGACTCTGCTAGTTCTGTTGGGGGAAGGCAGCAAGGAGGCAGTGCCCCCTCCTCAACCCCCGCCACACAGAAAATAATCCTTAAGATCTGAGGGGAGAAAAAGCAATAAAAAACAAAGATGGCATCATTTTTCAGTATTTATCCATGATCACCATGTGCCAAGGCCTTGTTAGGCTCAACCCCTTGGTACGACTGTGTCTCTGGGAGAGAGAAGCACCGACCAGGAGGCTAATCAGTGGAGGTCCTCAGGTGGCAGGCACCGGAGCCTTGGTCTTGAACTAATGGTGCCACCCCTGTCCCCACCAGCCACACGGGACAGCCCCGGGTTGTCCTGTGTCAATGGCGCCACCTGGTGGCGCACAGGGGAACGCTCACCCGCGGTGTCTTTCCCTGTCCCTTTTTCCCCCTCTAGGGGTCTTGGCTGCCAGAGGCTGCCTCCCAGCAAGCCCGGGCGGGGGCTCGAGAGGCAGCATGATGGAGTGGCGGGAGCGGACCGGGGGTGGGGGCCGGGGGGCCCGTGGGAACGGAGTGCAGGGCACACTGGCTGTCTCTG